TTTTGACATCCTCGTTTTGACGAACTTATTATTTTGACGAACTTTTGAGAACTTATGAATTCAGTAACCGGACGATTTTATTAAATTAAAACAACGGTTTTCTAAGTTAAGTCATGATTTTTTTAAAAGGTAGCACCCCGAATCAGTTTTCGCAAAGTAAAAAGGGTTTTATTTTAAAAGACTTTGCGAATTATTGCGCGCTCTGATTTTACGATAAGGAGGGGTGTTACAAATACTGGTTCTCAAAAACCCAGTTAAAACCACATAGAACCTTTTCTATATCCTCTTTGCATCAAAAAATAAATTGGAAGAAGTTGGTTCCCACCTCTTTGACCTCAAATGCCATAGATGTTTGCCATACTAAACCCATGAGCCTCTTTAACCCAAATATGTTTGCTTTACAGTCACCTATTATCTTCCCCAACACACTTCTGCGGCATTCTTCGTCGCTCAATTTAACATCTTCAGTATCTAGTTCCACATCCCAGCTTTCTTTTGTAGACAGCTCCAAAGATTGAAATTGTTCCCCCAAATCCTCGGCCATTGCCGAGCCCTAATTTTGACCACCTGACCAGAGACTGTAAACTCACACAGCAGCGACATAGCAAAAGAGATTACGCTCTTCCACAAGAGAATAGAATCTCCAGCAAGATAATCAAATCTCCGATGAGATAATTGCCCTCTCCGATGAGAGAATTTTTTCCCCCTTTTGGAAGATTGAACCATGTTTGATTTTGGAAATTATTATGCATGTTTCAAATTTGAACTTGGAATTTGATTATGTTATAATTACCAGATTATTTCATATGATTGAACATCTATTGGAATATGATGAATGTTGACATGAGATAAATTATGTTCGAGATAGTTGTTCCCTGTTTGTTAAATGTAACATTAAACTGTTGATATGTGCATTGTTTGAGTAGCACCCGTTGAATAAAGTTTAAAATCGATTTGCGAAAATTTAACTCTGACTTTTGAAAAAAAAAATAATTCGGTATTTTGGTATTAAAATAACGGGGCGTTACAGAACAACTCTGCCAATTACTTCTCAGGACTAAAGCTCTGGGTCCAGGTACATAATGTTCCCCTTAATTGTCTCACATCAGCGGTTAGTCTCAAAATAGGAGAGGTTTTCAAAGAAGTCTCCAATGTGGTTGTGAGCAACTTAGCCTACCAAGGAGGTAGGCTGATCAAACTCCTAGCTACAGTTAATCTCAATGAGTCGCTGCCTAGATGCATTTCTATTAGACAAGGGACACAGGTGGTCACGAT